TAGATGTATAGAGATATATTTCAGTTAGGTATTTTTCAAGTCTTTCAGAGACCTTCAGAATATGGCATTTAAAATGTCTTAATAACTTAGGACTTTTCATAACAATGAGACATGTCTGCTTCTGGCAGTACCAAGCTACTTCCTGAGGAAGATGGGCATCGAAGAGGCTCCTTAGCCATTTGGGCATGAAAGTGTTCTTACTTGGACTACTTGACTGGACATGCAGGACCCACAGAAAAATGACTGCTAAACTTATGTAAAGATGAGATGGTCCTTCTGGGTTCCTGCTTCATGAAAGAGTCTGCTAGACATTCTGTAGAACACAGAAGAAAATGACTGACAAACTGCCAATATAGGGAAAACTGTCTTTAAAATTTCCTGCTTTGTGGAAAAGTCTGTTTGATACTATGTCCTGTAGGCTGAAGATGGATGCCCCAATGGTAAGAAGAATTTTGGGTGACTGTCCAGGCAACAAGATGTCTCTGTCAATTCTAGAGTTTTGAAAGCTGCTGATAATGCATTTTCTGTTTACTTAAGTAATATTACATCCTTCTGGAATCTTTGATGGAGTTGAAGAATTTATAGTTATAGTTTTCCTTAGTTATGATAAAACATAAAGTATATATAAATATTGTAACTGTAATTCTTGCTTAATATCTGTTATATGTAATTTTACTATGTTAAAGTTATAACCTTCCTATTTAAACAGAAAAGGGGAGGTGATGTGGGAGTCCCCTCTGTGTGTTGTGATTGCTATTAATGAATAAAGAAACTGCTTTGGACCTATAGTAAGGAAGAACTTAGGTAGGCAGGGAAAGCTAGGCTGAATGCTGGGAGGAAGAAGGGTGGAGTCAGAGAGATGCCATGGATCAGCGGCCGGAGGTAGATGTGCTGAAACTGCTGGTAGACCTTGTGGTGATGCACAGATTAATAGAAATGGTTTAAATTAAGATGTAGGAGTTAGCCAAGAAGAAGCTAGAGCTAATGAATCAAGCAGTGTTTTAATTAATATAGTTTCTGTGTGGTTATTTTGGTTCTGGGCAGCCAGAACAAACAAGCAGCCCTCCTCCAACAGTAAGAGCTAGTTAATAATAAACCTAAGCTAGTAGGCCAAACAGTTTGTAAATAATATTAAGCCTCAGAGTGGTGGGTGGGAGAGAAACCCCCAGTTACAATGGTGTCTCTTCACAGCAATAGAAACCCTAACTAAGACAGAAGTTGGTACCAGATGGCTGTGACAGGCCTGACCATGGGTTTGGGACTTTGGGTTAGGAGTTAGAAAAGCAGTGGAATGCTTCAATTGCTGCTTAATGGGCCATCCTTGTAGGATCAAGGAAGACAGTGGTGCTGAGGATGATTTGAACTGTGGGGAACTGGCTCAAGAAGTTTCAGAGGAGAATGTTACTATATGGCCTAGAGACTGTTCTTGTGATATTCTGGCAAAGAATGTGACTGCCTTTTGTCCTTTACAGCAATAAAACCTTTACTAAGACAGTCATGTGGGAAGTATGGGGGCATACAGTGCTGGAGAAGTACCTGAGAGTTCTACACCTGGATCCACAGGCAGCAGGAAGTGAAGTGCCACACTGGTTAGGCTTGACCTTCTGAGACCTCAAAGCCTGCCTCTTGAATGACACCACCTCCAAAAAAGCCACACCTACTCTACCAAGTGCTATTCTGTATAGGCCTATGGGGGCCATTTCTATTCAAATCACTACAGTGGGTAGTTCCATCTTATTCACTGGGGTCTTTTTTTTTTTTTTTTTTTTTTTTTTTTTTTTTTTTTTTTTTTGGTTTTTCGAGACAGGGTTTCTCTGTGGCTTTGGAGCCTGTCCTGGAACTAGCTCTGTAGACCAGGCTGGTCTCGAACTCACAGAGATCCGCCTGCCTCTGCCTCCCGAGTGCTGGGATTAAAGGCGTGCGTCACCACCACCCAGCTTGTTCTGTTTTTTATTTTAAATGGTGCTGCAGTTTGAAACTAGGGCCTCATACATGCTAGGTACTTATCACTGAGCTAGGTCCTCTGTCTCTACACTTTTGTGTATTGCACACATGTGCACTAAAGGTCCATCAGGCCCTAAAACACAGCGAGCTGTGGGTCTGTAGTGGTCAGTCCCACACTCCTTTTTTCTGTGCACCACAGGCTTCCAACCTCACTATGGCTCTTGAGGTCACAACTGGGATTGCACTCTCTCCAGACACATTTCTGGACATAAAGTTCCATGACTTTAACTAAAACTTTTGAGATGAAGAAAAGCTCAGACTGCTATTTCTGATCTTATGGAATGAGTTCAAAGTGCAACACCCACTAAGGACATTTTTTTTTATGTTGACTGATGTTTTAACTTAAGCTTCACTTAACTCGACTTTTAGAGGTAAAGAACCTTCCTGAAGTAGGGTACTTGTCTCGGTAGGAAGTCTGAAGCAGTTTTCAATAGCCAAGGCACCAGACTACTTGATCAGAGGGCCCTTCCACTCTAGCTAAGGCAATTTTCTTCTCGCTTGCTTGAAAGATATACATATTGACAATATCTGCCTGGTTTTGTCTTCTTTTAATTATGAAACATATCCAAACATGTTCTGGCAGTTTGAAGAAAATTATTCTTGAGACACTCAAAACCAAAATAATTAACCCACTAAATTCTGCTGTGCATAACAAGGACCTTTCCCTGGCCAGGTTGTAGGCTCTATGAGCCTCAGGCTGTAGCAATACCTGGTTCTAGCTGGTCTCTAGAGCATGTCAGCTAGAGAAGAGTGCCTGTGCACCTATCAGCTTCTGACCACCATCCCATGAGGCTGTGTGTCCACATCTCCCTGAGAATACAGAAGCATCTTAGGGACACTGTCAGTTCCTCTTCGTCCTTTCTGGACTTATAACAGCACACTCAGGATGTGTCGGGCCAAACTGAACAGGGCAGAGTTAAATTTCTCAGTAATAGAAGTTCTGACAATGCTGTTAAAGTCCCTGTCCTCCAGCACACCGGGCAGCTTGGCGAGGGTGGGTATATCTGTATGGACTAAAAGGTTGAAGTCAGCCCCCAGATTAATTTGTTGAAAAGCTACCCTCCAATATGAGTACTCTGAGATGGGAATTCAGGTAATTAAGGTTACAGGAAGTCACAAACACTGGTACCCAAGCAAGATTAGTAACTTTACAAGATACACTAAGGACTAGAGATGTAGCTCTGAGCATTTGCCTAGTATGCTTCCAAAATCAAAAATAATTGATCTCATTAAAAATAAATAAAAAGAAGATAAGAGTGCTCCCTACCCGAACTTGCCATATGAAAGAATACAGTGGCTGTCTACAGGCCAAGAAAAAAACACCTCCTGACATGAACCATGCTGCATGTTAGGATCACAGCTGTGAAGAACGTCCAAAGTCCCTCTGTGCCCACGGTTCTCAACCTGTGGGTTCTGACCCCTTTGGGCAGTTGCACATACTTACATTACAGTTCATAACTAGCACATCACAGCCATGAAGCAGCAATGAAATAATTTTATGGTTGGGGTCACCACAGCATGAGAAACTAGATTAAAGGGCCACAGCATTAGGAAGGCTAAAAACCGCTGCTCTCCGTTACGGCAAATCCCTGGCACAAAGCTTCCACTTCTGTCCCACAGCTGCCACAGTGGCCACTGTACAGACAGCTCCAGCATTGAGTTAGCACACAGTGTTCTGAGGGAAAAGTCCTTACCTTCTAGATCAGTGTGTTAAAAGGGCAGGACACAGGCTCTGGAGAAAACGGTACACCTCAAGCCCATGCTGATCCTTTCTCACCCTGCGGCAGCAGCTTCTCTGCATCACTGCCCTTAATCTCTGAGCCTCTCTGGGTGTGGACACCCAATGGAATGAGGAGGAACAAAGAAGCTGTGGCAGGTAAGTGAGGAAGAGCAGGACTGGGAAAGCGAGAAAAGCAGGAAAGGAGAGCAGAGACAAGGAGAGGAGGGTTACAGGAGGTGACGGCACACCCAGGACAGCGAAGCTCCAACTTGCCTATCTGTTGCTGGACAGACTGCACAGCACCTCCAGAGGGAAACAGGAGCTGCCCTGTCCAGCCCAGCTTTGCCTCCACAGGGAGGCAGTTCCTCAAGAGAGACAAGAATGAGCCCATCCGGTGTCGTCACTTCACCCAAGGTGTTAACTTATGAATCTGGACACGATCCCTCACCAAGACTCCACTAGGGAAGTTCCTAGACTGCAGGTGGCCTCCATCTCCAAGCACTCTACAGCTGCGGGCGGAGAAGGAAGTCAGGCCTGTGACAGCTGTGTCTGTATTAAATATGTGCTGAGATTGTTTTCTACGCAGTGTTCTCTAAACAGTACAGGCCAACTATGAACACGGCACTTATACTGGAGACAATCTAAGTAACATGAGGATGCTTTCTAGTGCGTAGGGACTCCACAGGTTACATGCAGTGTGCCATTTTATATAAGGGATCTGTGCATCTAGGGATTTTGTTCTCCACAGAGGGGTCCTGGAACCAAATCCTGAAGAATGACCCTGTACTGGGTATGTTCTGACAGCATCCATCTCTAAAATACCTCATCTACTTTTTCAACCTGAGGAGCCTCAGGCATGTGAAGCACTCACTCTACCACCAGTCCTCTGCTGACACTTCAGAAGTCAGCTACAAAGATGTTGAGTCTGATACCAGAGACATAAATAATAGACTCAGTAGACTGGAAAGGGCCACACTATAATCATAGGTAATTTCTTTCTGTTTTGGTCCCCCCCCCCTTAGTCAAGCACTTGCCTAGCATGTATAAGCCCTGGGTAGACCCTGAACACCATAATATTATTTTTCGAAATTCTGTATGAGCATAATTTTTGAAGTTATTTTTTAATTTTTCAACTGGAACCTAGAACTAAAGGAAGAGGCAAAATAATGACCCCTCAGGCATGTCCATGATATTTACTTTGATTTGGGGGTTCTAACCACCAAAGACTATACCCCAGAGCCCACCCTGCAGGCAGCCTGGAACTGCCCCAGCTCACCTCGCCTGTCTGCGATCTGCAGGTAGCCTGTGGTCAAGTACTGTTCCATGTCCTGCTGGAAGGCTTCCTCAAAGAACTTCTGCCGCTCCTTCAGCTTCAGTTGCTGGGTGTGCTCCATCTCCAAGACCTTCTGAGTGTGCTCGGCATCTAGTTCAGCTGAGGAAGCAGAGGGTGGGGTGAGATCTCCAGAAGGACTACGCGGGAGACAGCAGACTCTGCCACCGAAGGAAGGCCCCATCTGCTGTGCTGCTGCCCATTACTAGGTAACTGCTCCTGTGTGCCCTTTCTGCTGCAAGGTCTCCACGATACTGCCTGCTCTTCTAGAGCAGGGAGCTGCTGATCAGTCAGTACTAACTCCTCAGATGACTAGCGTAATGAGAAGCCTGTGTTCCATCCTGAGATTTCTACTAAATCATTTGCCTTTTCTTCCCTAATAATTATTTATGTGTCTGTATGCAACCCTGGGAGTTAGATGAATAGGCAGTTTTAAGCCAACGGAGGTGAGTGTTAGAACTGAAATCCCATTCTCTGAAGGAATAGCAAGTGCTCTTAAAACACAAGCCACCTCTCCAGCCTGTGCTTCATCTCTTTTTTTTCTTCCCCAAGACAGGGTTTTTCTGTGTAGCTTTGGAGCCTGACTTAGAACTAGCTCTGTAGACCAGGCTGCCCTTGAACTCACAGAGATCCTCCTGCCTCCCTAGCTGGGATTAAAGGCAGGTGCCACCACCGCCTGGCTGTCTAAGCTCAGTCTTTGGAGGCTGATTTATAAATATAAAAACGCAAGTAAAAATTTGAGTTCCTGGACAACTGTATCCATATTTCATTCTTTTTAATATCTTCTCAGCCAGCTCAGTGCCTGAAACAGGAAACCCTCAACAAATACACTAAGAACACAAATAGTGAGTGTCATTCAGCCTGAAAAAAAAAAAAAAAAAAAAGAGGAAATCTGGACATGTGCTCCGGCACGATGGACCATGAGAACATTAAGTGAATAAGCAAGTCCCAAGAAGACAAATTACTGTGTGATGACACTAAAGTACCTGGAGAGACCACGTCACAGACAGGGTGGGATGAAGGCTGATGGGGAGGAGTGCTTAAGGGCACAGCGTTTCAATTTTTAAAACAATAGGGCTATGAAGGAAGGAGAGGCAGCCCAATGGATAAAGGGCTTATGGAAGCACGAGGACCTGAGGCTGGATCCCTAACACCCACGTAATAAGCTGGGCACAGTGGTGCATTCCTCTAACTCCAGCACTACTAAGGGTGGAGAAGGGCAGGATCCGGGACGCAGTGACAGCCAGCCTAGCTTTGATTCTTTAAGTCAAACTTCAGGTTCAGTGAGACTGCCTCAGGAGAGGAAGTTTTAAATGTACTCTACACAGTAAGAAAATTGGGGAAGAAACATGTAGCCAGACTTGAGAAATGGCTTAGCAGTTAAGAGAATATCCACCTCTTCCAGTGGACCAGAGTTTAATTCCCAGCACATCATAGCTTTCTGTAACTCTTGTTGCAGGATCTGGTACCTCTGGCCTCTGTGGGCACTGGAACTCAGATGCACAGAGACAACAAATACATAATTTTTTGTTGTTGTTGTTTTTTCGAGACAGGGTTTCTCTGTGGTTTTGGAGCCTGTCCTGGAACTAGCTCTTGTAGACCAGGCTGGTCTCGTAAATACATAATTAAAATAATAAATATTCTTTAAGAACCATATAGCCATTAGGTGTTATACAAAGTGTCTACTTTTGGCTTTGTGATTTATTAGTCATGTAACCTGGCTAGTAAGTTAGTATCCTATCTGAAAATGGATACAGAACTATTACCCCTATACTGACAAGTCTATGCAATAACATTAAACACTCCCAGTGCCCATGCAAGGACAGTAAGTGGTGTTATGTCTCACAGCAGACAAGCCATCTAAGGACCCCGGCTCCTGCATGAATCTGGCTGTCTGGGGAAGCTGGACACCACATACTAATTTTTTTTCTAAAGACAGATGTTTGAGACCACTGGCTGTGTGACATTGCTTAGCTGAGTTAGAGGAAAATACTGTTGTGGGGTGAGCTGGAGACCCCTAACAAGGTCTAGTTCCATCTGGGATATTGTGATGTAATTAAATGGTTTTAAACAGAACAAACAACATGGCACAATGGCTCTGAGGCCTGCCCTTGTCCCCAGTACTGCCCCAATTCCTGTCAACATAACTCCTCAACATAGCACCAGCCTCCCTCCAGAAATGATAGACCTTAAAACCTGTAATGGAGTTTATTTTTGATATCACACAAAATATATAAAGTCTAGTAGTTAGAATATCTGGGCTTTTGTGTACTCTAATGCCAGGAGTACAAATAAATGTTAGCTATGACAACAGAGACAGGAAAGTCACCTCCAGCTGCACACAGCTGGATATTGCATGTGACCTTACACTCAGTACTACTTGTTCATGTGTTTTTTTTCTATTTCCAGTCACCCTCCTGCCATGCCTGTGTTCACAGAAAAATGGGCTCATTACAGATGCAGGTGTTATCTTCCCAAGGTGGATCCTAGCCCATTAGCAAATACTGCTGGGTTTCTGTCACACTCCTCTGGGTGACTCTGCTGTCACAGCAACTGTGCAGAGGGGTTTGTACAATTCCATTATCTGCCTATAGTCCATGCCTGCATGCCTCTGTTCCCTCTGTATCCTGGGCAAGCCACATGTAAGCACAGCCCTGGAGGTCGTGCACATGTGAGGAGCAGCAGTGGATGACAGGCGAAGAGAAATGTGTCCACAGTCGGGATGCCCATCCTCTGGGTAGAACACTTCCAAGTCCTTACTGTCCCTGGCTGCCCTTCAACACTGTCTCATCCACTGCCCTGCACACTCCCTGGCTTCCCTCCAGCCTTTCACCCACTCTACCTGGGTGAAATCCTTTGGTTTTTCACAGAACTCCAGGTAGAAATCTAATGCGTTTAACCTCTTCAAGCTGCCACTTTATCCTCTCCACAAGAGAGGTAAAAGCACCCATTTCCTAAGGTTTCTGTTTGGGTTCAGGGGTGGCATATTAACCACCAGCAATGCCGCACTGGCCAGTAATTGACAACATGATGTCAATAACAGACTCTCAGAAAGGGAAGGCAGTCAGGTATGGTGGAAGCACTTGGAAGGCGGAGGTAGATGGATAGGAATTCCCAGGCTACATGAAATATTCCTTTTTTCCTCCTTTCCTCTCTTCTCCTGTCTCCCTACCTCAGACACAGACAGATACATACTACCAAGAACCAAATCAAGCACAGCACTAAAATCACTTTCTCAGCCCTACACAGACTTCAGAATTCATCACTTTTCAGTGCCCTCAATGCATCTGCAAAGAGCTGTGTCCTCAGGAAAAGCCTACAGGAAGAGGACACCTATCTGTTTGCTTCAACACAATGTAGCTGTTAAATGCCTGACAACCGCCAAGTGCATTAGTGTAATTCAACCCTAAAACACATTAGCAAACTTCAGAGCGCAGGTAAACTGGTTTAAAAGAAGCAATTCCAAAACAAGCCATTCAGAATCAAAGAGCAATTTAGAAACTATCAAAAGGGATTTAATTAAAGAATATCGCCTTTCAGCTGACTCAAGACCGTCTGTGGAGGAGTGAAGGTGCCACTCTGATTACCGTGATGACCTAATATGTCTCAATTACAGGCCTTATGGGGTCTCATCTTAATTCTTTACGTTCAGAAAATACCCAACCATGCCTCAACCCCTCCAGGGGTGGGGTGAGGAGAGTTTGGGTTATGGAACTTAAAATGACTTTAAAAAGAAGAAATCACAATTGCTGAGCTGCCAGGAAGCACTATCAACTGTGTCCTTGCCCTGTGTGGTCCCTGACTTCCTCCATGGGGCTGTGTCAAGACGCAACACAGATCAGAGAAGATGACAGGGAACATAAGAGAAAAACGAGTTAAAGAGCATCTCGCTCAGACTGATACACAGGAAGAGGACGCCTATCTGTTTGCTTCAACAGTCAATGTAGCTGTTAAATGCCTGACAACCGCCAAGTGCATTAGTGTAATTCAACCCTAAAACACATTAGTTCTAGGTCACAGAACTTCCTGGAGGAAAAGTGGCCCTGGCTCCTGTTTCAGTTACCTGCTATTCTGGGGAAGCAAAGTAAGCACTAAGACTCTAACCTGCAACTACGTCCAATCTTCAGACACTGTGACATGATGCTGTCACCTATAAAACTCAACTCTGACAACCATGCAATCAGATTACTCCTCCCAAAAATACCGTCCCAAAGCTTACAAGGGTCTGAGTAAGTTGTGTGTTAGGCTGCACTCATTACTACCTGAGGTACATGTGGCCTACCCAAGTAGGCCACACCAAACTGGATTTCAAAAAATGGTACCAAGATCAAAAAGAAAAACAGAAAAAAACCCCAAAAAACTCAGAAAAAGACACAATAGTTTTTCCACCAGAAGTCTGAAGTGGTCCCCTAACTCTGCTACCCAGTCTTAGCTTCAGACACTTTAGCTGTCCATTATCCATTTCAAATGGACAGTTACTCAGAACACAAAGAGATTCCATTACCATTTAAGATGCCACAATCAATTCATACTTAGGGTACAAAAGGAACAGACGTAGGTAGGTGAAATTTACAAAAGTTAAGCCACCGTGCTAATCTCAGGAGCAGCCTCCTCCACTCTGCCATTCGGCACCTTTAACAACCTCTGGGACAAAGGACCGAAGTGCTAACAACAGACAACCCCAAAGCTGCTGCCAGGAGATGGGAACACCATAATCTAGACTGTAAAAAGAAAAGTAATAAACACTGAATTAAACATGAGTTGAAAAAGTTTTAGTAATTTTTCATTCAAGATAATTAAGACTAAGAATTACTTTTTAAAAATCTGCAATTTACCTACAACTTAATGTATTCATATTGTGTCAGAAAACAAAAACTTCAGAAAACTGTAATACATGTAACAGAATCATGGAGAAGTGTGAAACCTGTAATGTTTTTATACACCAATCCTTCCAAAACTGTCTTTTGGATTACAAAGCTCAACAAACAAATAGCTGTCAGATTACAGGATCATTAAAGGCAAGAGCTGCTATGTTTCCATGCTCTGTACTTACTTAGTAGTTCCAAAATGAGGAGACAATATTTTATATAGTGGACAATGTC